GAGAGAGAGAGAGAGAGAGAGAGAGAGAGAGAGAGAGAGAGAGAGAGAGAGGGAGAGAGAGACAGAGAGAGACAGAGAGAGAGAGAGACAGAGAGTGAGAGAGAGAGAGAGAGAGAAACAGGGAGAAACAAAGAGTGAGAGTGAGAGAGAGAAACCGGGAGAGAAAAAAAGAGAGAGAGAGAGCGAGAGAGAGAGAGAGAGAGAGAGAGAGAGAGAGAGAGAGAGAGAGAGAGAGAGAGTGAGTGAAAGGGACGGGGAGGACGAAAGAGAGAACTAGAAAAAGTTAGGTAGACAGACTGACAGACATATGGACATAGTAGATACGTTAGATTCCTCCAAGATTCACAGGATGATTATCAAAAGGATTGATACGGACAGACAAAAAAGACAGAGAGAGAGAGGGGGGGAAAAGGAACGCGCCAGCGCCAATCAAACCGACAGTCTCTTTTAGATAGAAAAAAAAAAAAAGAGACAAACAGACAGACAGAGAGAGATAGATAGATAGATAGATAGAGAGAGAGAGAGAGAGAGAGAGAGAGAGAGAGAGAGAGAGAGAGAGAGAGAGAGAGAGAGAGAGAGAGAGAGAGAGAGAGAGAAGAGTGAGACACTTTACAAGAAGTACTCATTTTACCAAACTGAGTTTTTTTCTGAGATAGGTACATCTGCAATCACCGTTTCATAGCCTTTGTATATTGCTCTTTAAGAATAACTAGAGCAAATACCATTCAGATGGCGTTCTGTGCCAACTACCTTTTCTGGAAGGCAATGGATAGCCAAGGAGTACTTGAATACTCGACCTAGGTTTCTTAAAGATCAGGATAATGGGAACGACTTACTGATCGAAGGTATTCGACAAAACTGAACCTGTGAGTGAGTGAGTGAGTAAATGAATGTGTAAGTAATAAAGAGAGTGAGTGATAGATTGAAGAAATGAATGACAGACTGAGCATTAGAGTGAGTGTGTGAGAGACAGCGAAAAGGATTGAGGGAGAGGGGGGAGCGAGCACTTGAAAGGGAGAGTAAACGACTGAGCAAGTGTGCTCATTGTTTGGTTGAGGAGTATGCATAAAAGCCAGTAGTGTATTGATTCCCTTTTTTCAGTGGATTCGTTAGGTTGAGTGGACGAAAATGTGCGCATTTCATACAGAGAGCCTTCAGATGGTGCTAAGAGGATTGGGGGACAATAGGGGTGAGGGAGGAAGGGTGTATGTACGTGTGCAAAACGGCCAGTGTGAGTTGGCAAGTACATTGTATATACAAGAGTGAGTAATATTATTAGGAATGTCCTGCATCGATGAATATGAATGAACTGTATTAATATATATATATATATATATATATATATATATATATAAATATATTATATAATCATCATCATCATTATCATCATCATCAAGTGCCAGATCTGCGACAAACATGGGCATTCATGGTTCTCCGTTTATTCCTTTAGTCGGATGCTCTTAAAAATATATATTTCTATATTATATGTGCTTACACTATATTCATATGTG